TTGACCAGAAATATAAATAGAGGAAAAGCAATATCATTCTTCCCCTTATTTTAGATTAATCAATGTAACGACCATTTTATTAGTCTTGACCCTTCTCCTTGAAAATAAAGATAGATTGAGTCGCCAACTTCAAGTTCTCTCTCGAGGCCTTTTTTCGAGATACTATTCTTTAGTCTCCATGTTAGACATTGTATCTCCATGAGGATCAACAGCTTCATCATCTTTCACAATTCAATCGTAAAGAGATTACCCTAAAAGCTTTTTGTTTGATCATAGGTTAGGAAATCATTACTTCCGATTGTTGCTTGTATGCATGCACCAGCAACTTCGGTCTTGAAATTTGTGAATGATCTTCTAGCACTCATATTTCTAAAAGATAGAATAAAACCCTGAAAATTATTTTATACAGACAACTGTTTATGCTCGATTCAATGGCCAAATCAGAATTTCGACCAAATGTACATGAAAAATAAAATAGACAGATTTCAGGAGCTTTTTTTTTGAGAAAATCAATTTTTGCGGCGGTTCTTACTACGGCCAGTGCATGACCCGAATCAACACTAAATATTGGTTTCTACACAACTTGACGAGAGCTAAAAGACTAGCATACGTAAATCGTGCCGGAGGATAGTTCTGTGAAAAGTGGGCGGAACTGCGCGGAAGTACCTAGCAACAATCATTCAAGAGATAATCAATATCTTACGATCGATCGGTTAAACTATTTTTTCATCTTTCTATGGGATGAGTGATGCGAATAAATGGGTGATGACCAATGAATGAGGTTTCCTTTTTTTGCTTGGATCCTTACCCTTATACTCAAGATTCCTGATCATACTAATTTTAGTGATTGGATTTTTCTGACCATTATAACAAAGTGATAGGTTCTTTTATATTTTATTCAAATAGAATAAAACATGCGTAAAAATGGTAATATTTTATCGCTGTATTGGTTGCTGTTTTCTCCAAGACAAAATCAGAAAATTACGATTGTTATAAGTGTAGAAAAGAGAACAAAAAATATTTTTTAGTTTTTGATTTCAGGTTCACGTTTTTGTTGATGTGTCGACCAGTTAATATCGAGCAAATCCGTTGGAGCGAGTTTTTCTATGAACGGCAACTGATCCTTTTTCTTTGTTTCAGGAAGTCGAATCCCACTCATGATTCTCACTAAATCATCAATTCTTTTTTTTCCAACGCTACTGTTTCTTTTTTCATTTTGTTTATCTCTTCATGGACAATTTTATTGAATTCTTGTTGAAGTTGTGAATACTTCTGTGATAAAAATTCCAGTGTAGAATTGATGTTACTTGCATAGTCGAGCTGTTTGAGACGCTCATTAATTCGTTTCAATTCCAGTTTGCTGCCGTATATTTTGCCTTTCGACAGCTTCATTTGAATCGTCTTGTTCTTGTCTAATCTCTTTAATTTTTTTCGACTTTTTTTCAAATGTTTTGGAGGTCGTGTGAAGCGTTGTCATTTGCTCAGTTAATTGTGCAATTTTTCCTTCGTGTTCAGTTTGTATGATCTTCAACATATCTTGATTCTTGGCTATTTCATTCAAATCTGTTTATAATTCTTCGATTTCACTTCTCAGTTTGTTCATGTCATCGTATGCGGCGTTTCTCTCGTTTATCAAGCTTTTCACATTCGTTTTTAATGAATCCATTTCGCTGCGGTAGTCGTGAAAATCATGTTACAGTTTCGTCAAACGTGCAGTGAGTTCATCAACATTAGAATCCGCTATATTTAATTGCTTTCGCAATGGCGAAGCAGAAGAACTTCGTTCTGTTTTTGTCGATTTCCTTTGACATCAGATGAGAAACAAGAGATTTGTTTCAAGAGATTTTGTCCATATTTCTCCTTACTTTCTCGGTTTATTTGAAACGCAAACGGGGCCGATTGGAAAGGCTGATGCATGAGATATTTTCGGCATTCTGAGCAAAATTTTCACGGATTAATTCCTGAAAATGCATGAACACAACTGTTCCAAGTATGAGTAATTGTTTGTCTGAATTCAAAGATTCTTGTTGTTTTGACTGTTTCGCAGTAAATTGCTCTAGAAATTCTATTCTTCATGAAACACAGTCATTGGATACACTTGCAATGATTCACGTGGTTATTGATAAAAATGTTGTCTCATCGAGAACAGAAGACAAAGAAGATTTCTCCGATAACTATTGATTTAAATTAGATAAGAGTTCCTGTCTTTCTACCGATTAATATTTAAAAACCAAGTTATGTCCAATTGAAAAAATACGCCTAGAATCACAAGACGAAAACCTTCTACATCAGCTAGTAAGCATCATTAGCTTTGGTCAATCAGACATCTGAAAACTTTTTCCCAGGATAGTTCTATCGATTTTCTGGTTTAGAAGGTGGGGGTGTAAAAAAATTAGACTCCCATCCACACTCACACCCACACCCAAAAAAATGTCATATTGCATTGGCTTTGTTAAATTTCAATGATTGAGCATCAATAGCATTCATGGATGGTAAAATATTTTTCATAAAGCGACCATAAGTACCTTGATTTGTAAAACTTAAATATAATATTGTTTGATCAATGATCGCATCAATTTTTTTATTTATACCACGAAATGAATACCATAAATCATTTGACTTGAAATATTAAAAAACTTCTTGCCAAAGTTCCATGTGACAAAAATTCAATTATACTGTAGTATATATTACTTGACATTTTCGATCTAGAACATATGGATGTAGGTGCTGGATGCCATTATTAATGAGAACCATTAACACCCACACCCCAGTAAAACGAGGACCTTCACATTAGTATCTTTACTCTCAAGATACTCCCACGCTTCCTCATTTTTATCTTTAGTATAAGGTTATCAATGGTTGTATGGTTAAATAATGTTAGAGGCAAATTTAAAAGACTTTCGCCACCAGTATGTGTAAAATTCTCTTGGAAATAAAGACTAACATAGCAGATAGAGCTCAATAAAAAAGTTTGGATATTCTTTGCTTCTGAACAGTACTTTCAATGGAGAGTCTTGCAAGGTATACTAATTTCATATTGTTTCAATCTTGCATTGATTGTTTGTACATGAAACCATTGTAATGTCGAGTAGTTCTTCGGCTCGCAGGAAAAGAAAACTAATTCAATGTTTCATATTGATAGAGAGAAAAAAATTCATCACTGTTCGTTGGCGTCAGAAAGCAGTCAACAGGCTTTAATTTTCATCCAAAAAGAAAATAACCTTGTTTTAAATAACCATGTGAAGTAAGTATCATAAATAACTGGAGTTCTCTTGTTGTTTTGCAAGATTACTTTTAATATTTCATTATGCATGCGTCTTACTACGTTAGTTGTAGAAATCATAGTTTGTTTCTTCTTAACGTACATGTTTTATTTATCAATCAACATCAGTAATGGTATTTCCGTCGACAACTAGATTTAATGATTGGAGACAATTATCCAAGAAAATCATTATAATAAGCCTATTAGTTCTCAGCATGTATCATGTAAAGTACTCTACTAATCGTAAACAAATGAGAAAGATTATCACTTTTGACGAACCTAATATTCCGACATTAGACAACAGCATAAAACGAAATAAAAATATATTTGTTCAAGCATTAGTTTATAATAAAACATTCGCTCCTGCAAGAATACAATTGGAAACATTTAGTCACGATTATGAAGAGCTGTCAGTGAGACAAACCATAAATGGACCTGTTCACTACTATAGTATTGAACAAATTTATTTTGCAATTACAACTAATCGATATCGAATTCGAGAGACAATTGAATTTTTGAAATTTTGGGCAATAACACCAGATATTCGATGTTTAATGGTTTTTGAGAGCAAAAGTTTGCCCTCTGAGAATTATATCCAAAGATACCTTGCAACTCATGGAATTTCATGTAAAATACAAACTTCAAATGCCACTCGTTATGAAGAGCGATATCTCGAGTTAATTCAACAAGTTTGGTATTCATCAAATACAAGTTCATATGTTGATTTGGAAAAAGTGGCATGGTTTGCTTTTGGAGATGACGATACTGTTTGGTTCCTAAACAATCTATTACAAACATTAAAATACTACAATGCATCTGATCCAATCTATTTAGGTAATATTTCTGACAACTTAGATGCCCTTCAACGTCATGGAACTTATTTCGCTTTTGGAGGTGGTGGTATTCTTTTAAGTCGAACTTTAGCATTACAAGCAGCACAGCAGAGTAAAGATTGTCAACGACTCGTTCATAATACGTTTGGTGGTGATATGATGATCGGCAAATGTATTAATGAAATATTAAAAATAAATTTGACAAAAAACAAGAATTTTCACCAAATGGACCATATTGGAGATATGGACGGCTTTTTGGAAAGTGGCATCGAGGGACTTGTTTCTCTACATCACATGTTCTCTTACTGGGAACCGTTTTCTGAAGAACATGCTACAAATACCGTAGGAGCAATGAATCTTTTCAAACTAGCTTATCAAAAGTTAGGTCATCATTTTTTGAAAAGATACGTCCGATTGGATCGCCAAGCCAATCGAACATTCCTATTAACTATGGGATATTCATTTAGTTTATTTGATCGGATATTAACACATGAAGAGCTGATGAAAGTGGAAAAAACATGGTGTTGTAGTGATTTCGTCGGCAGACAAACCAGACCGAAAGAAATGAACAAAACAACATGGTATTTTCGAGCTGTAACAAATGAAACGAGTAGATGTGAAATGATTTACGAGTACAACAATGTCGTTCGAGTCATCTCATTGCCTATGAAATTGATCATTTCAATGACTTGAATGAAACAAAGATATGACTTTCTTTACCATCAAATAAGGATATTATTGTCAACAACCTATTCTACATTTGAGTTTATCAAGACTTTTAAAACTGTTAGAGACAAATCCAAAAAAGCGCCTGTCTATCGAAACATAAGTATCCTCAAACTGGTATCCCAAGGGTGTGGGTATGGACGTGGGCGCATGGCTTAGGTATTGTAGTCAACTAAAGACACACAGACTCCCACACATCCACATCTCGTTAAAATCCTTATAATCAGCAGTTTGACATCAGTGCATTCGACAACCTGTAAGAAACTGTGTACTCGATCACCGTGAGTTTATCAATATGAGAGTGCTTGTTAGTTTTAGTTGAAAAACGATATCTAAGTCGACCGTTTCAATCACTCGAACTGACATCTTCATAAGACCTGGAACGGCAATAAAAAGATATTATTTCTGCCGTAAATGGCGCACAAGAGAGCACAGTTTTTAGCTGTTATCCACCAGTTTTAGGGCTTTAATCCGTCAAACTAGAGTACGGAACGTTTTTAATTCAGATGGAGATGATACCATTTCATGCCGTTTCCATCGAATAACAATGAATCCTATTCATACCATTTTAACCGCCTTTTAGTATCTCAAATATAAAGTTATCTGACCTTTAGGGTCATATTTAGTTGTTTTTTTTACCTGTAAAATAAATCAAAATATTATTGTAATGGATTTCAAATGATAGATGATATCAAACAAAAAGAATTATGGGAATTTCAAAAAACAATTATCTAAGATAAAACAAATAATCCAAAATAAAAAGCGAGAACCTAAAATAAAAGAGTAGGCAACAATAAAAAACGCCTCTACAAATTCTAATCGAAATATGATTTTAAATAATAAAACATCATAATTCAAATTAAGAAAACTTACTTATATTGTGCTAATCATGACCGCAATTTAAAATATATGCATTGATAATTCTCAACTAAATTTGAAATCATTTATCAACAGTGAACGCATGTTCTTCTACATTCTATTCGTCCGCTCTCAATACATGAATTGAAGTGAAAAATTAATATGGCTAATCAAGCTGTATCTTAATCTACAAGTTAAAAAATATAAATAATTGAAAACAAAAAAATTTATCTCTGTGGAAACCAATTGATAAAGAATCTAAAAGAAAAAAAAACATTCAGATGAAAATAATACTTTTATATAATTCGAATAACATACTAATGTAAAACAAGAAAAACATCGTATAAGTAAAATAGACTTATTAATGATTGATCTCGCTCATTGAAATCGACTGAAAGAAATTCAGGCTACTTCATATGTAATGGATCAAGCGAAGTTGTTCAATTGAAAATAGTTGATGAAATCAAAATAGATTGAACTAGATTTCAAAAGTAATATCGATATTTATTCTGTAGAAAGGAGAAATCTGATGGTGTTTGAGCAATGGGAAAGAGTACAAAAATAAGTATAATAATTGTGTAAAATCTCGTGAGAAATTTTATATTGAAAATGGCTAAGTTGGATCTATTTTGCTAAATAACTTTCTTTTAAGACTTTATAAATATAATGATAAGTGCCTGTTTATCTATTTCATTAGATGTATACAATGAGTTTTTATCAATAGACAGAATATGGTATTGTAACGACAAAAACCGATCGCTATAACGATAGCCGATTTCGACGATGCACAGACGACTGCCTTACACGATCATCGTCTATCATATTATTCAGCCATTTTACAGGGCGTCGTAAACGATCAGCGTAACTGTAACCGTTTTCATCCTTTTCCGACCGTTAATGACCGTCTAAGAGCCGTTCTTTTTTACCTGAGTATCCATAACAATGACATGAGAGTACCCACTCAAACAGACTGCATTTCAAGTTAACTGTTGAAGCATAACAACGGATACCAAAATTTATTGATGCTTCGTGAAAATGATCACTTGCGGAAGCAAGAAGAGTGCTCAGACGATGAGCAAACATAGAAGTTTCCTGAAATGAATAACTAGATTCGGATTGCGATGCATTTATTGTGCTTTATTTTCATTTTCTCAGGGAACTTTTGCGTTTATGAAGTCTTCCGTGATCTTTATCATGATCGGATATGAGTCTCAAACATTAACAGTGGTCAAGCATTCGAGCAAAGACGGTTGATAATGAATATTGAGTCATATGCAGAAAAACTTAAGCCCCCCCCCTCAAAAAAAAGTCACTTTTCGTCAGAATCATCGAAATTGAGGAAAATTCATGGGGAAACAACCCATCATCTACTCTTTCATATGCGACAAAAATTTTTATTCAGCATCTCTTTTTTTTTTCAAAAATGTTGGAAGATTTTCGTCACCCCCTATTCGAAAAACAGACCGTTTTTACAAAAAAACCGAAAATCATTTTTCGTTTTTCTCAGAACGTGGGTGCAACGACGTATCTCCAGCAGAACTCCATCACAGTAAGAGATAAAGTCAAATATTTTTTTTTGTTTGAAAGCTTATGTGCAGGGCTAGCGACTCTCGTGGCCCTTTTTTAAAATAAGCTTTTTTATTATCATAGAAGATAACATCTCTATCGGAGCAGCGCAATTTTTAGAGAGATTTTTTGAGTCATTGAACTTTCGCTCCGTTTTTTTCCCCTAAAAAATAAGTCTTTAAAAAAAAGGATCACAAGAGTCGCTGCATTCTGACATGCTTCTTCTAACAAAAAAAAATTAAATGTCTAGAATGAAGACCCACAGAGAAAACTTGGAGATACTAAAGAGCTATTTTTGGCCCTTGTTTGGTGCATATCTCGGTTAAACATCGTGCTATAGAGCTGAAAATTTGACCATAGCCATGTCTCACCAGCCCCAACATATCCTGAAATTTTCATGTCATTTGAGTGTTCCTGGGCTGAGGGTGTGGGTTTGGGTGGGTGTGGGTGTGGGTATGGGTGGGTGTGGGTGTGAGTGTGGGTGTAGGTGTAGGTGGGTGTGTGTGTGGGGTCGGTGTGGGTGTGAGGGTGTGGGTGGGTGTGGGTGTGAGTGTGGGGTGTGGGTGTGGGGATGGGGGTGGGTGTTATTCAGATCTTTACACACCACGCCCGCACAGCTACGCCCACAATGACATCGACACCCACACCCCACGTCCCACGCCCTTACTATAGTTTTTGTTAAAAAGAAACTTTCTCTACTAGATCGACAATTTAAGGAAAAGATTTCTAACTATTAAATCATAATCAATAAACACGAAGTCTTTCGATTTTTTTCTTAATTTAATTGAGTCTAAATTACGGATAAATAGGAACTGAAAAGAGAACAATCAATAATGATAAGATTTCATTTTTAACAGAAAAAGACTTTAGCGAAGTATTGACAACTTGAATAAAAAAAAGTAACAAATTCTATGATACTTGAACTATTTCAAAGTTGGATAAAGTCTTTCGATCTTTTTCTTCCTGCTTTAAATATATAAGAATGAATAATATAGAATTCATCGAATATATTAAAATACTTTATGTTAAAAATATTCGTATCTTTATCTCTAAATAGAATTTCATTTAACTCTTTATATATTCAAAATGTTAATTTTTTCCATGAGAAGTATTTTATCGCGTCATTAAACTCATTATGATATGACTAAATCAACGTCATCAATAGGCAAAATAAATTCTACTTTAGTACACTGAACGACAAGCGTGTTTTGTGAAACACGATCTGAGAGTGTTGAAGTATATAGGGTAGAAATTTGGATCCACCCCCTCTCCCCACAAATCGTGACAGACTGTGATAGGCACCCTTCATGGATCGTTAGAGCGACTGATAGTTGCCTTCAAGAGACTATCAGATGTTATGTACAACTAACATCTAATTGGAGTATTTCCTTTATCGAGTTCTATTCTGTAAATTTAGCAATGTTGCTGGAATACGTCCAGTATATGTAAAGAAGAGTCGTTTTTAAGGAATTAGTAACAATAGAAGTATCGTGTTTCACATTTTAATCTCGCAGAGATGTGCTAACCGCTTTTTCTTATGCATTTGTTCGACACACTGATTATGCAAAGGATATGTTCTAGGGTTTAATAAAAGCAATAAAATGATGAACGTTTCAACAACGCAAATGATTTTGTATATAAAACGTTAATTTGATCGTAATGAAAAGAGAGAGAAATATACATATCGTCATTTGTATCAATATTGCGAATGATGTCTAGAAATGTTTTTTTAATGTTTAGAATACCTGTTAAATAATTCATTTATTAATATACAAAAGAAATTCTTCTTAAATAAATTCAAAAAGAAAACTTCTAATGAACTCTAACATAGAATCAATAGATCTAACTACATTCAAGAATATAAATTGAATAACATTTTTATCGAATATATATACAATGAAATATTACAAAACTTTGATAATATAAATACTCATATTATCCGAAGTTTTTAATTTTAAACATTGATCTAATAATTGTGATGCAATATTTTCAAGTGATGTATTTGATGCTTTTTGAGAAACAAATAATGCAACTTGTTCATTCGTCATAACATCCCAAATTCCATCACAAGCAAGAATAACAAATGCTGCTAATGATTTTTTCGGATATTGAATTATATCAGGTAAAGCTGGAATTAAACGTTTATCTAATAAATAATCACCGAATGCTCGACTAACAGCAAGTATATCTTCAACACGTGCAACATCATTTTCATATTGAGTTATTCTTCCTCCAGCTCTATGAATTCGTTCTTGTTCTTGTACAACATCTGGTTTATGATCTTTAATTAAAATAAATATTTTTAAATAAAAAAAAAATAAAGAAATGTAATAACCTTTAGTATATGCTAAAACTTGTCCATCATTTGAAATAATTATTGCACGAGAATCACCAACATTAATCAAATAAATATATTTTGGTCCGATTAAACATGTTATCTAAATATTTTAAACAAAAAGATAATTAAATAAGAAATAATTTGGTTAATAAAGATAATTTACACAAACAGATCCACTTCGATCATTAACTAAATTAGCTAATTTTTCATCTAATTGAAGAAATGTTTTCTTTGTAATGTAATTTAATTGATTTTTATTGATTCCAGATAAATAAATAGATTCATCATTAGAATTAATTCCAGTTTGATTTAATGCATCGATTAAATATTTATCAAGAAGATTAGCTGCATTTTTTGCTGTATCAATACCTAAAAAAAAATAATAAACAAGTATTAAATAAAAAAAAAACAGAAAAATTCTTAAACCATTATGTCCATCAAAAATAGCAAAATAAGACCAAAATTTCCATGAATGATTATCAATTGGAACTAAATGTGTATGAAAATCTTCATTTGATATTCTCCATCCTTGCATACCACCAAAAGCAAATGATTGACCATGATCTAATTCTTTTCTTGTATTTGGATTATTTAAAAAGATATTTGCAAATTTTTGTTTAGGCTTTTTCTGAAACATTATTGAGAGAATGCCAATTATCATCAAAAAAGTGCATCATCTTTTATATAGCGTTCAAATAGAACGACATACAAAACTATATTGCACTCATTCACTTCCGTTTGTTCTGCACTTTTTAATCCAGCAATAGGAGACATATGACGAATGACTTTTATCTTGATATTGACTCTTCGTTTAATCGCTGAAGATTTTTTGGTTCATTTTTCTGTTCTTTGCTAGTCGTACAAATATATTATAAATATTACTCTCCAATATAAAATACATTCTGTTGTCAAGTTTATTTACAAGGTTCTTGCAATATATGATGCATCTGTCAATCATTTTTTGAGAATATTTACTTATAGGCTATTTTCAGATCATGTCATTCTATTTTTTGACTATTTTCGAATAATAAGAGGTCTTCATGCAATCTAAGTTAAAATGTGTCGCATGTGTCGTGTTTTGCGACACATTAAAGTGCGACACGAGGAGCTTTACCGCGACATATTTTCTCCAGCAGGACTACGACACATTTCATTCGACACATGCGACACATTTTCTATTGGTTCTTTTGGAAAATCATATTTCGATGTTTTTTCAATTAAATTCCATTTAATTATTCCTATTCTGAAAACTCAAGCTGGTCGGGTCCTAGGATCTGTCCAATCTCGAGTTGTTCCGATTTGTATCAGATCACTTCAGGGTAGTCCTCTCTCGATCCCAAAATGATCGAGAATTAATCTAAAAAGAATAATTTGAAATTTTTTTTCTACGTTCAACCACGTTGTTTATATATCACTATATGTGCGTAATAAAACGGTGAACGAATAATCAGCAGACAGAACGCGACAAATTCGTATACGACACAATCATTCACGACACAAACGCAGCACATTTAAATTTAGTGTGTGTTAGCGAAGTATCTATATAAAATTCCCTTAATACATAATGAATACTATTTCAAAGACCTGTCTCTTCTCTTATTAGCAATTCTTAGCTATTTATTTTCATTCAATTCGCTTTGAATATGTATTCACGTTGATTATTAGATGTGTTTCGAAGTAACCATTAAAATAGTGATTGTATTGATAGATGTTTATTCAAATTAAAAAGAAGGTCTACAGATTTTATATTAATATATGTTTAACGAAAAAAAAATTAATAATTATTTCCTGAAATAAATTATTTATTTTCTTAACTAATGATTAAGTCATCATAGAAGTTAAAAAATAATTTTGATAAGATGATCGATGATATTTGGGGTATGTTCATCTCTCTCGTCTTTGATTAGATTATTACTGAACAGTACATAAAACATTATCAATGATTTGTAAAAATTCATGATTTACATATAATTAAAAAAATCATTTGGTATTCTAGAAAAAGTAAAGAAACAAAAATTTGACAGATATATATTGATCTATGTGGAAACAAGTCAAAATATTTCACATTTTTCAACCAAATATTTATCTTTGTTTTGTAGAACTCACATATAGTTTCGAAGAAAATGGTCAGCCGTAGTTTTACGGCTCTTCCTCTCTCCATCACAGACCTCAACAATAAAGACTAAAGCTCTCTTTTATAGTAACAAAAGGTATAAAAATGTCATTTGAATATCGCCATCGGATGTAGCTACACAGACAAAAATAAGAGAATTGCATTGCGAAGAACATTGGTTGAAAATTTAAGATAAAAGACAGAAGACAAAAAACGAAAGATTGTAGAATTCAGCTACTAAATACATGCACAAGTAAAAGGAAGAAAATGTTTCTTTTTTTATCGGAGTTAATGCTTTAGCATTTATGTGTCATTGTTTCAATTCATGACAAGTAATATTATTGTTGTTTATTTTGATTGCAGTCATAAATTCTTTTTTTTTCATTATCATATCATAAAAAACAAACGTTTTGGTAATTAAGACAGCTTCCACGAGTTCATCGAGTAGCATTCCAATATATGAGACACTCGATAAAAATTGTTTTATTCTTCTCGCTCATTCAAAGCGTCAATGTTTGAAATCACCAACCCCCAAATTTTAGATTCTAATATTTTTTCTTTGAAAAGTTAGTCGATACTAACTTTGTGTTTCAACAGATCATAGAAATTTTTCATGGTATATATGACAAAATAGAGAATTAAAAGCTGAACAAAATAAGCTATATGAATATAATGTAATGTCTAGTAACTCAAGTACATGACTCTAAAAGAGTCTTTTTGATCAGTCCAAATGCATCACCTACTGTATTTCAGGATCAACAGATCTAAAGGTGGATTTTATATATGTTGTGCAGCTTGTTTTTTTCTCTACAAAACAGTAAAAAAGTTTCCAGTTTTTTGCGAAACGGAGCTTACATCTTCTTACTTTTAATGATTTTTCAATAAAAAATACACATTTTAACCAGTTTTCATTGCTATGGTACAATAGTAAAGCAAAATAGACATGATATTCGGAATCAGCATTAAAAACGGGTCCTAATCATATATTTTTCAGCGAAATTGTTTTCTGTTCAAAACTGCCTTGCAAGAGCGGCTTTTTACGCTGATTTCGAATATCGTATCTATTTTGCTTTACCAGTGTGCCATGGCAATGAAAACCGCTAAAAATGAGGAGGTGTAAGGCCTGTTTTGTATCGATTCTAATTGTTTTTTTGAACATCTTTTTATCAATTTGTAGAAAAAAAGCTTGCTAGACATTATATTATATGAATATAGCTTACTTTGTTCAGCTTTTAATTTTCCATCTTTTTATATAAACCGCGAAGAATTTCAATAATCTACTGAAACGCATAAGCCGTTACATGTTTTATAGAGTATTTTTCCTTGTTTTTTCTCCCTAAAAGATATGATAGTGCTAAAAGTCGTTATTGGCTAACTTTTCATAGAAAGGGTATTAGAGCCTAAAATTTTAGGTTTGGCGATTTTAGACATTGATGCGTTGGATGATCAGAAAAAATTTTGTCGAGTGACTCGCATATCGGAATGTTACTCGACGGACTTATGGAAGTTCTCTTAAATGATTCTAGAAAACGAGATTTTTGCCGATGCTTAGTACATTCACTTTCAAATAACTGATATGTTTAGCTAGTTATTTTACAACTAATTAATCTCTCACTTTTATCATAGTTATTTTTCGAAAAATAGAAAAAACCTAGCAAATCTTACAAAGGATATCTCAAGTACTTTTGGTATCTAAGAATGAAATATTAGAGTGTTTTATTTCTACAGTTGATCTATCTAATGTTATGTTGCAGTACGATTTTAGAGGTTAATTTCGATTCTATAAAGACTAATTAGCATATTTTGTATTCTTTTAAAATTGTTTTCTCGTGTACTTAAATTGGGAATATGATTTATGATCAGTAAATTATTTAAACGATCCGTTATTAATTGATTATGTTTGTAAATAAAGGATCAGTATAAAAATTGAAATAAGTATAGAGTAAATCATTATTGTTCTTCTTTTTCTTTCTCTTCAGCTGTTCTGCATATGTTATCGTTCTTTTAACCTACATATTTTGTGAATAAGAAGACTCATTGTTTTAATTCTTCTTATTGTTCATTATCTAAAACTAGGGTGTGGG